CATTATTAAGAAAAGTAAGTGTAATGGATCATAATCCAAGGTGTAAGTAGATTGTTACTTGTAGTATGTATTTCTTTATTGTTTCTCCAATAAGAGTAAAATATTTCCTCTCTTTCTTCTTTTCTTTTTTTTCTTTAAGTATTCTCAATCTTTACAAAATAAAGAAGGAAGAAATAAGAAATAAAATTTCTTTTTTTTTTTCTTTTTTGTGCTCATTATTAAAGGAATCTCTTGGGTATTCAAGTAACATCATTTTCTCAAGGAGAAAACAGATATATAAACAAAACAGGGTGGTTCCGATACCAAGAGAAATAAATATTATAAACTACCAGTAAGAGAGGAGAAAAAAAATTATTATTGTAGTGGAACATATTTATATTTTCATTATATTTATATTTATNCAATGCCAGTTCTACTCGACAAGATGGAGGATAACAGATTAAATAAGAGTACCATATCAAATACTGTAGGTGAAACAAATAATAATAATAATAATGCAATGTCGATTGAACATTCATGGAAAGATATCGGTTTTTTTCTATTTTCAGTAGGTATGGTGGTTGGACCTCATATTGGGTATATGTTTCAAATTCATGAGATGTCTACTAAAAGAAATGTAGAAGGATATTCTCCAATTGTCTCAGCAATTCTTTTATTAAGTAATAGTATTCGTATTCTCTATTATATTGGATATCAATTTGCCCTTGCGCTTTTATTTCAATCCGTACTCGCCGTTGTGGTTCATCTCTTATTATTATTGCTTGTTGTACATATTGTGCAGGTGGACTATCATATTGATAGTGATTCTCCCGAGGCCAATGGAGGGGAAATGACAGAAACTGGAGTAGAAATAAATAATAATAATAATCATAATACTATTAATAATCATAATAATAATAATGGGAGTACACCTGTTGAAGTGACACAAGGTGTAGATCCGAATACCGTAATTGTGAGTGAAGGTGTCTCACATTGCTTTGCATTTCTTTGGTTAGATCATCAGGCTTCTAAGATTGAACTTGCCATTTTATCTCTTTCCCCTTCTGGTCTTGTACGTTTATACTTCATTTGGCTTTTCATTGCCATGATGGTCGTTCTTGTTTATTATGCCATTGTTGGCGTGCCTGTTGTTGTTGGATATGTGGCTCTTGGACTTGAGGCTTTATTGGTTTTACCGCAGATTCTGCGAAATCACCGTCGATGTAGTACCGCTGGACTCACCATGATGCTTGTGTTGACATGGGTATTGGGAGATCTCATTAAGGTGGTGTATTTTATTGTAGATAAGCAACCATTGCCATTCCTTGTCTGTGGATGTATACAAATAGGATTGGATGTGATTGTGGTAGCCCAGGTTATTTATTATCACTTTCATAATAATGGTAGAATGGAGAATAGAGAACGGCAGACATCGGCGGTTGTGGGGATTGGGGAGGATTTGCAGGTGGAGACTTCAGTCGCCACACCAACAGCCATGGAAGGGGAAATAGTGCGGCCAAACTCTGTTAACAAGTAAGTGAGTAAGTTAAGTAAGTTAAGTAATAATGAGTTTTTTTTTTTTTAAAAAAAAAAAAAAAGGGTAAATTCCCCACATTGTTGTTGTTATTGTTGTTGTTGTTGTTTAGTTGGTTAGTTAGTTACTACTGTTTCTTGTCTCTCTTCTGTGCAATGTTAACAGGAAGAGGGTGATGGAGATAATATGATGGGAGGTGGGTGAATATATGAAGGAAAGGACTGTTGGATGCCGTGAGTGAAGGGCATCTGTATATATATATCTATCTAAATATATCTGTATATATATCTATATATATATATATATATATATATATATATATATATATATATATATA